TTCTTTCCTCGGACGCATTAATGTATTAAAAATGACAGTGTTACCTAAACTTTTATACCTGTTTGCGACCCTCCCCGTTCCCGTTCCTATGTCCAAACTCCACTCTCTTCAGAAATCTTTCCTGCATTTTATTTGGCACAACAAGCCGCACAGGATTGCACGTTCTGTTTTGCTATCCCCACGATCTAGGGGGGGCTTGGGGGCTCCAGATATAATAACATATTACTACGCAACTCACCTTCGTTTTCTCATGTCATGGTCTTCCCATTATCCTCCCAACACATGGACTGAGATCGAATCCTTGCAACTGTCCCCAGCCCATCTATGTTCTCTCCTTTGGTCGACCTCAGCAGTGGATGTCTCCTCCTTTCGCCATTTATTCCTTGGTCCCATGCAATTTTCTCTGACTGGCGGAAATGTAAGGCTAAATTTTCACTGGCCTCTGATTGCTCCCCACTGATGAATATCCTCTGTAACCCTAATCTCCCAGACAACATGGCCATGTCCCGGATGTCTCATTGGGCTGTAGCTAACCTTTTTCAATTGCGTCACTTGGTACACCCGGTGACTCGTAAGTTACACTCATTCCCAGTTCTCCAGAAAAAAGCCCTTTTACCTCCTCAACACCTATATATTTATCTTCAAATACGCCACTTTTTTTCCACTTTATCACCTTCATTGACTCTGGGGAAGCCTACTCCCTTCGAACGTCTATGTATGCAGGGTCCCCATCACAGGGGTATAATCTCTAATACATATAAACTTCTTATGGAAGCCCCCTCTTTATCCAACAATACTCGCCTTTATATGCGTAGGTGGTCTCAATTTATACAATGCGATATTGATTTATTGACATGGCAGAAAATTTGGGAAATGCATCTAGATCTTCTGTCTGTGTGGTTTTTAGGAAAATATTTACAAGATCATGATGTTATGGTACAAAACACCTGAAGTTCTGCATGCTTATAATCCGAATGCTTCTCCTGATTGCTGGCGCTGTAGTAGAGACCTCGGTTCTCTCTATCATATTTTTTGGACATGCAGCTCCATTGCTCCTTTTTGGCAGGATGTTCTCTCCTTGCTGAATTCATTGCTGCATGTCTCTCTCCCACTTGATCCACTACATTTTTTGCTGGGTTTACCATTCCCAGGACTACCTAAATTATCCAGGAAACTCGCTGTCCATGTGCTGACCGCGGCCAGGAGAAGCATTCCTATGTGTTGGTTGTCCTCTGATCCTCCTTCAATGCCGATTTTGTACAAACTTATTGCTGATGTAAGACAGATGGAATATTTGACTGCACTACATAGTTGTTCGTTTGCTGTATTTGAGATGATTTGGCTCCCATGGGATACTTTCACTTCTTCTATGCGGCCCACATTGCAAGACCCTGATATTCTTCACACTGTTAATTATGATTTAGCTGGTCCTGACCCTATTTAACTCTGCCATCATGTACCTTTCTGTTATGTTTATTTTCTCTTCTGATTCTTTGAAATATATTGTTTGTATTTCACGAAAACCAATAAAAATTGTTAATATAAAAAAAAAGTCTTGGATGAGTTTGGGGTGGAGGAACTTGACTGGCCTGCAGTTTGGGGATGACCCCTTCCTGTTTCAACCCGTCCTGACCTCAACCCGATAGAACACCTTTGGGATGAATTAGAGCGGAGACTACGAGCCCGGCCTTCTAGTCTGACATCAGTGCCTGACCTCACAAATGTGCTTCTGGAAGAATAGTCAAACATTCCCATAGACACACTCCTAAACCTTGTGGACAGCCTTCCCAGAAGAGTTGAACCCTGCAGACTAAGACTGGGATGCTATTAAAGTTCATGTGCTTGTCAAGGCAGGCATCCCAATACTTTTGGCAATATAGTGTATTTGGTGGATCTTGAAATGAAAAATACAACAAAGAAGACCTAGAACTGTTGAGCATTTAGAATCCTTTATCAGGCAAGAATGGGACAACATCCTTTTCCCAAAATTCAAGCAACTGGTCTGTTTAGTTCCCAGATGTTTACAGAGTGTTGTTAAAAGAAGAGGGGATGTTAAGATGTTGTTGAAAGTTTTTTTTTCTGTCAACCCCCTACTCTCTGATCTCTCCCCTCCCCCCCTCCCTCTCTCCAACTTTTATGCCATGTACTACCAAAATTGAGCAACTTTTCAATGTCTGATATTCTGTTATGGCTTTTGCTTATTCTTTAATAAAAAAAAAATAGATATAAATCACCATGGTAAACATGGCCCTGTCCCAACTTTTTTTAAACACATTGTTGCCACCAATTTCAAGATGACCTTATTTGTTTTCTTAAAATAATACATTTTCTCTGTTTAACATTTGATATGTTTTCTATTTTCTTTCTATTTTGTTTTATTTATGCAACATCCCAGCTTTTTGGAATTGGATTTGTACATCAGAAGCCCCCCATCACATTGAAGATGCTGTGGGATAGGTAAAATCTTCACCATCTGTTTTAACCTCAAAAAAACCCACACCACTGCACCGCAACCCCATACATAGCACATGTATGTCTTTACCGCCCCCCACCCAACCACAAATGTCACCATGGCCTTATTGGTTGTGGCAATCCAATTATAATTTGCAAGATGCTATAACCCATAGTAGCCACTCAGCAAACTGTACTAAGTGCATGACATATAGCTGACCCCTTAACTACGTACGTTACCCATTCCTGACCCCTGCATTCTGTACATTACCCACTCCCAATGTCTGAACTACGTAAATTAAAAATTTCTGCCCCCTGAACTATGTACATTACCCACCACATCTACACTGTGTACTTTACATACAGTGCTTTGAAAAAGTATTCATAGCCCATGAAATTTTCCACAATTTGTTATGTTACAACCAAAAATGTAAATGTATATGTGATAGACCAACACAAAGTGTCACATAATTGTGAAGTGGAAGGATAATAACATTTTTTACAAATAAATATCTGAAAAGTGTGGTGTGCATTTCTATTCAGCCCTCCTGAGTCATTACTTTGTAGAACCACCTTTCGCTGCAATTACAGCTGAAAGTCTTTTTGGGGATGTCTCCACCAGCTTTGCACATCTAGAGAGTGACATTTTTGCCCTTTATTTATTTGTAAAAAAATTGTGAAAACCATTTATCATTTTCCTTCCACTTCACAATTATGTGCCACTTTGTGTTGGTCTATCACAAAAAATCTCAATAAAATAAATTTACATTTTTGGTTGTAACATGACAAAATGTGGAACATTTCAAGGGGTATGAATACTTTTTCAAGGCACTGTACCCTTGATCCCATGCACTCTGTACATTACATGTTCCTGACACCTGTATTTTGTATGTAATATACACCTGCACTCTCTATGTTACACATTTTTGACCCCCGTACTCTGCACAAGATTGAGATGAAATCTCCAATCCTGAGTCCTGGTTTTAGAAGCAACAGGCGCACTGATTGTGTAGGTGTGAGCTAGGCTTTTTGTAGAGTCAGGACTAGAGTTCTGTGCTTCTTCTCCCCCAATAAGTCCATGTGGTTGCAAGGGAGCAACCCAGAATCGTGCAAGTCCGCATGGTGCAGCTGAAAGAGTGTGAACTGTGAGAAAGTGGAGTCCAAATAGCTGTGTGCATTGGTCTTTGGGATCCGACCTAAGGCCTAGGCTTGAAGCCTGTAGTAGCCGTGTGACAAGAGTGAGCCAGAAAGCTGGAATTGTTTGTTTTGACATTTTCAGTGATGGTGGAAACCCCTGTGAGGGCTACTGATTTTGTGTAAACTTTTTCTTCCTTTTTAACAAAAAGGGGCCAATCATTCCTACAAACTGCATTTCTAAAGTGCACTAAACTCACTGGAAAGTACTACCACTGCGCTAAACAACCCCAAACATTTACAGTACTTAGCTGACAATCGGTAATATAAATCATTGTCTTTCCTTCTGACATTCCATGCACTCCAGGATGGGTGTGTGTAAACTGAATGAACTGAGCAAACATACCATCACCTGCTTGAACATTGGGGCTGGTGTGTTCACTCACTAGAGATAGTTACTGGGAAAACGAAACCTGAAACTGTAGAACGTAGACAGGATTGTGATGTGACATGTGCTCAATGGTTAAATAAGCAGGTTGTCAAGAGCCTGTGAGCTTCCATTGTTAGACAGGTGCAGGGGTGTATTTACCACAAGGCAAACAAGGCATTTGCCTAGGGCGACATTTCTCAGGGGGGGCAGCACTACTCCCCGGAAGAAAGAACAGAAGAAGGGACACACGCAGCATAGGGACCAGGGTTGCTTGACGGTATATGCAGAGCCTGACTCTCATTCCAGGGGATGTCTGGAAGTGAATGTCTTTGGCTTTCTCGCTGGAGGGTGGGTGGGGTGGATGCTGTATGGAGGGTGGTGGTAGCGAAAGACTCTCTCGGGTAGGGGGGGTGGAGAGGAGGGGTGGTGTTGGTTGGTGTCAGGCTCTCTCTGTGGGGAGGGGGCATTTTTGTGTTGCCTATGCAGCACAAAACCTAAACACACCACTGCACAGGTGACGTCTATTGATCAGAGCTATTAACCCACAGAAATGTAAAAATGTATTAAAAATGCCTGTCTGTCACCAGGGGTTGTAAGGAATTTCTCTGTAGGTCCAAACATTTTGTCATCAAAATGCAGAATATAGCAAGCACTGGGTGATGCTGCACCACCAACTGTTACTGCAGAATGAGATATAAAAGACACAGATGAATGCAGCTCCATGATTAAAGTGTTACTAAACCCAGGACCCTGCATTCACTATGTCTGATCTCCCACAGTACACAGAACATGGAAATGCAATTATTTTAGTAATTATAAACTGCTAAACACCTTTTCTCTTCAGCAGTTAGAGCAGTCTTGTAACTTCTATCAGTGTCCAGCAGAGCACTGGTTAATGCTTGTAGGAGTTTTCTTTCTGCTCTAGGAGGATGTGAAACCCCTGACCCTCTGTCTGGACAATGCTGATTAGCCCTGTGCTGATCACATGCACTCTACCAAGAAAAAAAAAACCCTCTCTAGCAATACACACCAAACTGAGCATGTGCATGAGACTACGAATTCAGTCTGTATCAGGTGGTCATTTCAACAAGAGGAGGGGCAGAGAAGAAAGGATCAAACAGCCTTTTTACACAATGCAGAGTATTAACCCCTTAGGTTCCACAGTGAGTATAACAAGCATGCTTTACTGCATATACAGAGTGATTTTACTGTTGTGGGTTTAGTAACACTTTAATACATCCTGACATGTATATTTTTTTAAATATGAATTCCATGTATGGATATGTTATAGATAATTACTTTGATCCAGCTTGGACCACTTATACTATGTATATACCATACCTGTCTGCTGCTCCTGAAAGCTGGAAATCACTGAAGTAGACATCAATACTCCCATTATCTCCACTAGCTTCCAGGTCCCATGCCGAGCAGCTCTCCTGTTGTATTCTGAACACAGGAGGTCGGCCATTCAGCATGGGCACCATTCACAGAATGCTTTGAATTTTCCGAATGCACACAAAGCATTCTCCAATCGGACAAGGTGGAAAGTGTGACGTCACCATCCTGCCTTTTCCCCTTGTCCAATCAGAGAATACTTTGCATTCTTTCAGAATGTGCCAAGCAGCTACCCTGCTGCATTATGGACACAAAAGGGCAACAAGTCAAATGGGACCTGGAAGGAAGGAGAGATCACTGGAATAATGGGGATTCCCAGCTTCCAGGGGGTTTGTCCAGGTATGGTATATGCATATATGCATCGGTCTAAAATATACACACCTGAAATTCTTTTTTTACCACTTCGCCTGTTCACCCCCCATGGACCACAGTCATTTTTACATTTATGTTATGGACCTGTTTATTCAGCAATAATCTTGTCATTACTAAAGATAACAAGGTAATACATATATTGTTTTTTAAAGGTTTTTTTTTTTTAATGATATTGTCTTGCAACAATAATTTTTTTTTTGCAATCCTAATGCCACGTACACACGATGAGAATATCAGATGAATGGTCGTCGACTTTTTTTTTTGCATGCTAGTCTCATATCAAAAATGTGAAAATTCTCATATGAAAGAATACAGCTTCAGAAGTGATGTAATGTATTGTAATGTATTCTTTTGTTTCCGAGCATGTGTTGGTCTCTTGATTTTGTCAGTACTGTACTGAATAAATGAAATCGTACAATAACAATTTTCATGCTTGTCCCTTAGGATATTGTCGCATGAGCTGTGGAAAGCTGTGTACTAATGATCAGATTATCATACGATCCTTTGAAAGCAACTTTTGTCATCCGATTTTCTGATCATGTGTACTAGCCATGACATGATAAAATGCAACAAAACTAAACAAAAAGCAGTGTTTGTTTCAAAAATCAATACTGTTACAGCACATAAAAAGTGTGCATTTTATTATTATTATGATTATTATTATTATTATATATTATTTATATAGCGCCAACGGTTTGCTCAGCGCTGTACATTATAGTGGGGGACAGTACATGAGACAATACAGTGACAATACAATACACGAGGGGTTCAAGGGCCCTGCTTCTTGGAGCTTACAATCTAGGAGATGTGATTTGTCATGTTCAAAATGACACTAAAATTATGATTGTGTTGCAAAGCACTGCAAAGTTATTTACAAATGAAATAAAGTGGGTTTTTTTTTAATTTTTCACTTTTTGGGAAATGTGTAAGGCGGTATATTGCATGTGATTCGCACAGGAACTGCACCAAATTCCTGTGCAAATCACATGCAAATTGTATGCGGTGCGATTTGAGCCATACATTTTGTATGGCTCAAATTGCTCCACATCCGCACCAAAAAAGGTGCAGAACCCTTTTTTGGGTTCACACTAGAATCGGATCGCATGGGAATTCACACCTATGCAATCCAATTTTGCACATCGCACCACATTTTGTGGACCGATTTCTGGGGGGTTGTTAACTTAATATACACACCCGCAGCGGTTCGCATGAATGGGGTGCGATTCTGATGCATTGTTGAATTCACATAGAAAACGCTGCAAATTCCGTATCTCATTAGTCCTCATACACACTGGACATTTTTACAGCTGCTGTTTTTGGCTTTTGACATTTTTTTTAAGTTTTTTTCTACAGCCAGTAAACCCCCCAGCATGTTGTCCTATGCGTCCATGCACACATAGACTGTAATCAACGTTTTTTTGGCTGGGACGTTTTTGGTTGGAAAAAAAACCCAGGACTAGTGGGTTTCTAGAGGAATTTTTTAGCTGTAAAACCGCTCTAACACTGATAAATGCAGCAAGTCATGGTAAAATGCCGTAAACCAGCGTTTTGGACATTTACCAAAAAAAGCTAAAATAACACAAATGCTGAAAAACATGGGAAAATGCCGCTAAATGCTAATGCAAAAACGCTAAAGAAAGCTGAAAAACACGTTTTTAACGTGACTTTACACAGCTAACAGTACCAGCATTATCAAAACACCCAGTGAACATGGAGCCTTAGTGTGAACCAGGGGCGGACTGACAACTCATGGGGCCCCCGGGCAATAGGGGATCATGGGGCCCCTGTGTCCTTGCTCAAACTCAAAAAAGCCTATGAAAAAAGTACCGGGAGCATCTCATGGGGCCCCCTACTGACCCCAGGCCCTCGGGCAGTGCCTGCGTTTCCAAATGGTCAGTCCGCCCTTGGTGTGAACCCAGACTCAATATGTTAAATGTGTAAAATATTGCCAAAAAAAAACCCAAGAAAGTTTTAAATAATAATAGTAACTAAAAGAGAAGCAAAACCAAAAAAAAAAATCAGCAGGAAAATAATAGTTGAAGAGAGAAGGAGACTAAGGTGTTAATTAGGGCAGATTAGAACAAAGGTGGTTAAACAGATAAACATTTTTAAAACAAACTTTTTTTTTACTTGTTGGGTTGATCTGCAGATGAATGAACAGAAAGATACAATTGTAACATATTACTGTACTTTGTACTGTATTTTGTCTTTGTATAGTAGGTCTGGAGCAGGGGTGGACTGACAACTCATGGGGCCCCCGGGCAATTGGGGATCACGGGGCCCCTGTGTCCTTGCTCAAACTCAAAAAAACCTATGAAAAAGGTACCAGGGGCATCTCATGGGGCCCCCTACTGACCCCGGGCCCTCGGGCAGTACCCGAGTTTCCAAATGGTCAGTTTGCCCCTGGTCTGGAGCACTGTTGTTTGTAAACACTGATTCAGACTGCTTTTTTGACAGCTACAGCTGCCGACTTCTCTGAGTATACTGTAATACTGGCTTTGATTTATCACAGCCGAAAATGACTGTATGTTAGGAGGAGGGGTCCCAGAAGCAGGGCAGAGAGACTGAATGTGCTACACACATCCTGTGTACAATGATAACGTTTTTTGGGGCGTTTATAGCACACACAAAGTCTGCAACTAGTTAAAAACAAGCATTGTAAGTACAGTACCTGAATATGACCTGCCTCTTGCAATCCCTATACAGCAGGGCTGGAGTGTGAGAGGAAGAAGCAGCATAAGGAGCCGATGAATTTATGTGCGGACAAGAAACATGCTGATAGAAGAAGAAAGGATAGTGACAGACAGATAAGCTCGTCACTCTAATGCTTCTCCTTTCAGTCTCCAGTCACAGGGTGGGGCAGGTCTAGGAAATCTGGGGTTCAGAGGAATTAGGTTACATGATGCCAGCTATCAGACTAATTATCAAACTTCAGAACAACATACTCATAGAGGCTCAGGGAACTTGCATGTGTAGTCAGATAAAAGAAAACTTTAACCACCTCAATACCGGGCACTTTTACCCCCTTCCTGCCCAGGCCAATTTTCAGGTTTCAGCTCTCACACTTTAAATGACGAGCGGTCATGCAACACTGTACCAAATCTAAATGTTTATCATTTTGTTCACACAACTAGAGCTTTCTTTTGGTGGTATTTAATCACCACTGGAGTTTTTAATTTTTGCTAAATTAACAAAAAAAAAGACTGAACATTTTGAAAAAAAAAAAAAAACACGTTTTTCTTTGTTTCTGTTATAAACATTTGCAAATAAAGAATTGTTCTTCATAAATTTAGGCCGAGATGTATTCTGCTACATTTCTTTGGTGAAAATAACCCAAATCAGTATTTATTATTTAGTTTGTAGGAAAGTTATAGAGTTCACAAACTATGGGATATATCTGAAAATTGATCAATCCTGAAGTACTGACATCCAATTTAATTTCTTGAGGCCCAAAAATGTCAGAACAGTACAGATATCCCCCAAATGACCCCTTTTAGCAAAGTAGACAGTCTGACATATTTCATAAGAGGCGTGGCGAGTTTTTGAAGTTGTCATTTTTTTGTCATAATTTGTTGGAAAATGAAGAAAATTAAAAAAAATTGTCAATATTTGTTTTTTTGTTACATACTGTCACCAGTGAAGTACAGTATCATCATATAATTGGTGTGCGGTGATCAGGGAGACTGACTGGTGACAGTGTGAAAAAAAAAAAAATTGATTATTTAAAAAAAAAATTTTTTTTTTTTAATTTTTTCTCTTTTTGTATGATTTTCTTTTAATATTACACTATGACCAAAGTAGTATAATGTTACAATAACAACATTGTACTACTCTGGGGAAGTGATTGCTTATAGCAAAGAATTTCTTTGCTTTAAGCAAGCATTTAACTAAATGAAATTGATTCATTCAACTTTTTTTTGTTATGATTAGCTTTGATTGGCCACGGCAAATCACATGACACAGATAGGCTGTGTTTGGCCCTGTCTGTGCATGTGATCACTGTGACCAATCACAGCTAGTGATACAATTGTATACAATGGATGGCATGAAAGGAAGCCATCCATTGTTTACAAGTGTCACGTGACCTGCTGTGATTGGTCACAGCAGGTCACATGGTACTGGCAATGGGTCGGTACACAGATCAGTCATCGGCTGTGTCCGAGGTACACAGCCAGTGACAGATCTCGCCACAGCATGGCCCTGCGGGCATGCACAAGGCGCGATCCAGGAAGGACATCATATGAAGCCCAACCGGATTGACAAGAGTCCCGCCCAGCCATCATTTTCCTATTGGCTGGATGGGAAGTGGGTAATCAAGCACAATAGCTTTGGCAAGGCAGCTCACAAACAGCAAGGCTTCCCTCAATGGGAACAGTAGTTCAAACCACAGAAATACAGAAAGAACCAGCCCAATACCAGATAAAAAAAGTAAAATCATTTAAATTTGCTGTTTAAAAAAAAAGTCATATAAAAATAACTGATACGTTTCGGGAGTAACATCACTCCTGCTTCATCAGGGCTCAGCACTTGCTCCATAGCTGCTGAGTCATATTATTCTTCTATGAGGAGAGTTCTACACTGGTTTGAATATAGATCTATGAAGTCATTGGTTTTTCTCTGAGTCTATTCCAGTTTCATCCTGTGTTGAGCCCTGATGAAAGGGGGGGGGGGGGGTGTTGCTCCCAAAATGTGTTGGTTGTTTTTATATCCCTCTTTTGCCAACAATAAAACTTAAAGTGTTACTAAACTCACAACAGTAAAATCAGTCTGTATATGCAATAAAGCATGCTTGTTATACTCACTGCGGAACCACAGGGGTTAATCCTCTGCACTTCAGTAGATATATCATTTTAAACAAGTTTACTCTTCCCATCAGGGTCAGGGGCACGTCCTTCCAATTACAAGCTCTGTCTTTAAATGCTCTCACAATAGGCCAAAGATTACTGTCTAGATATGACTTTAACAGAAGCTGTATAGTAAAACCGATATATTTTAAATTTATTATATCCCAATGGGGCACCCTAGATCTGAAATCAACAGCTGTTGTCCATCCAAGGGGAACAAAGTAGATTTAGACCAATTTATTTGAAACCCTGAATAATCTCCAAATTTTTGAATCAGCAAGAAAGCTCTACATAAAGACACCTGAGCATCATTTAAATATAATAACATGTCATCAGCATATAGTGACACAAACTCCTACTGCTCTCCTATCCTTAGACCCTGGACTCCTACATCCTCTCTCAACTTTGTAGCCAATGGCTCAATGGCCAGTGCAAATAAGAGAGGTGATAAGGGGCAACCCTGTCTGGTTCCCCTATGGATTTGAAACACTTCTGATATGAGTCCATTAATCCTGATGTGGGCGCTAGGCTCCGAATATAAAAGCTTCACCCATGAAATAAACATGGGGCCAAAGCCAAACTTAGCCAGGAGTGGGAAGAGATATGCCCATTTTTAATGCCTATGAAATGTGTTGGTCTTGGACCCTTTGTTTCTTGGGTAATTTTTTACAATAAAGCATTGTTGCCCAAATGCCAAAGGCATGAGAGGTGACTGATGTATCATTTCTCCAGGTCAAAGAAACAAAGTCACAAGATATTCTGCTGGGAGCAAGATAAAAACTTGTTTATGGAATGAAACGTGTTTATGACATCTAGTAACCTCACATTAGGAGATAAAAACCTGTTAAATATGTCTAAGTTAGAAATCCTTAAGTCTGGAGGAGATGAAAAGAGGTTTTGGGGTAGATAAGAAGCAAAAGTGTGACTTTTCAGATAACGAATATGGTGGTTGAACGTGACTCTGTTATCCTCGCGGAACCCTTCTGCTAGCTCCTCCTGTGGTGGGTGTGGTGCCGCCCACTATTGGACAGCATCCAGAAAATGGGTTTATAAGGCGGAGGCCTGGCTGAGACCAGTAGAAGCCCCCCCCCCCTTTCTTAGTGGCCAGAGTACGCTCTGACCCTGGGATTTTTGCCAAGGCTATATGGGCTCATCGACTGGTCGTGCCTACAGCTTCTCATGACCCCTTGAGCAGTTTGGTTCCAATGGGATTTGTTCCTCCTAGCTTCTAACACAGCTTTGGTAATGTATTAATTATATGCTTTGACGCTGTCAAATGATATGTCTATTTCATGCTGTAATGCTAACACTCTTATTGGTGTGTGTTATTATGCAGATTGTGATGACTATAAGATATATCCTCCTGTGTGTCGTGTGATAATAAAAGTGGAGGTTTTGACAGTGCAAGAGTGCAGTTGGATTCTGTTATTTCTTGAAGTGCCGGGTGAATGCTATGATGTGCCAGGACAGGTGTTCATTTGGTAGATGGTCTTTCATATGCGTAGAATATGTAATGGTTTAAATGCTGATTAAAAGTACCTGCATGACTACATGTTGATTGTGTGCGTGTATATGACTTGTGTTTAGTTATTGCACCCAGCATTTTTTATTACACCATTCTACTGAATGAAATGCTTTTTTTGTATCTAATGGCACTATCACTCTATCCATTGCATTATCATGCCTTACTTGCAAATTAATGAAGAGCCTCCTAAGTTTAATATGAGCACACCTGCCTGGCATAAAGCCAGTCTGATCCGACCCAACTAGCTTTAGAATTACTGTTTGTAAGCGCCTCGCTAAAATTTTAGTCAGTGTTAATCAAGGAAATGGACCGATATGATTCACACTCCAGGGGATCTTTTCCCGGTTTTGGGAGTAAAACTATAAGAGCCTCCTGCATAGACCTTTGAAGTTCCCCTTCCCCCCACCTAGAGGAATTATAAACCCTTTGGAGATATGGCACCAACAG